TGATTGGTGGGTAGACAGTCCACGAGGCCTGTGATTGACTTCCAGAACATACCTGCTTCTGAGTGTCAGTGGCGTTACAGTAACTGGAAGTCCCATCGATCAGTAGCTTGCCATCTGTAGTCAGGCTGGGTGCACAGTTTTAGGCGTTCTCCCGGCTCCTGATGCTATGGGTTGAAATGCTTTCATGCCTTTGGCTTTTCTGCTATCATTGGTATCCTCAGGAATGGGGCATGTGTTTGGCTTATCAGACACTATTGTCATGGAACAAGTCACACAGTAGATGGAGCAGAGCTCTTTGCTTTTCTTTGCTCTTTATTGCAATTGACAGCTGTCATCAGGAGGTCTGATGGGTCCAGTTGATGCCTTCCTAAGAAAAGTGATAGGCCATAGAGCTAGAACTGGTATCTCCTCGGTTCAGCAGGCTCCTTCCCGTGTGGGTGGTAGAGTAAACAGAGGAGGTTAAGTCAGAGAACTTTAGGCAGATGGGAACTCTCAGCTTCTAGGAAAAGGTGGCTTTGCATAGACAATTTAAGTAAGATTTACAGGATTTTTTATTTATTTAAAAGTAATTAGAATGTTATGGGCTTTATGAAAACAAAAATATGCTTTGAGAATTACTCATTTGATATTTTTAAATAAGAGGCTTGGCATCTCCTTCCTGGAATAAGTAATTTCTTTTGTGGTAAATGTCTATGGGTGGACAGCATAACAATCAGAGAATTCCAAAGACTTCAGCTGAGGTGTGCCTGGGAGGAACTGCACTGGGGCTATGCCACAGCCCTGCTGAAAGGCCTGGGATCTCACTTAGGATGTTAAATGACTGGACCAGGGTGTGTGTGTGCGTGCGTGCGTGCGTGCGTGGGTGCGTGCGTGCGTGCGTGCGTGTGTGTGTGTGTGTGTGTGTGACAGAGAGAGAGAGAGAGAGAGAGAGAGAGAGAGAAAGAGAGAGAGAGAGAGGCAGGGAGAGACAGAGACAGACAGCCAGGCAGACGCAGATACAGAGATAGAGGGACAGAGAATGAGGAACTGGGAGATAGTAATTAAAAAAACCAAGAGAAAGAAACAAAACCATCATTTTTGAGTTCAGTTAAAAAGCAGGAAATCAAAGCACCACTATGAGATAAAATAAAGGTCACTTACACTGTGTGGGAAGCATTACAGACTGCAATATATAACTTCACAAAGGTGTAGCCCAGGTGCTGTGTCAGAAGGATTGGGTATAGAGGGAAGGAAAATTCACTACAGCAGTGCAGTATGATATTGCAGGATTAAAGAGTACTGACCTCCCTGTTAGATCATGAAGTCTAACGGAGACTAGGACACTTACTCTGTGAGTTTCGCTGCCTGTCACCTTGACAGTCATCATGTGGTTTGAAGAGTCTCAAAATAATTTAAAGATGAACATTGGTTTAAACGTTTTGTTCATCCCAAAGATGGAGGGGGAGAAAGACCATCAACCTATATTACCATGGTCAAATAATTAAAGCAAGCTTTTTAATTCATGTACACAGGGCTGCCTTCTCCTAAGGCAGGGCTTGAGGTGTCAACATTGGATGTGAGAAACACAAGGTTTTTATAGCTCCGTGGTAGGGGACTTTTAAATGGGGAGTTTTGTATACAAAATAGTGGGGGTTATAGGAACAGGACATAAGCATAACAAGTTAGATCCAGTGATCTCCTGAAGTAAAGACATGATTTTAAGGTGGTCGTAATAACAAGAAGTCATAACAAGGTAGCCGTAACAACAATTTTGAAACAAAGGTAGGGTTACAAGATGATTATTAAGTTTTTTTCTTAAAAAAAAAAGACGTGCTTTCCATTCCTGGAACAGGCAGTACAGAACCATTTGTAGTTAAGGTTACAGGTAGGACACAGCCCAATCCTTGAGAAATAGAGGTTTAATCATAAACAGTAATGAACCCAGTTTGTCTTTACTATAAGATGACTATTAAGCCTAAGGTGGAGGCAGGCTATTTCTTCAGTTCATCTTCCTAATTATCCTGTCCCATGTAGAAAATAAAGCTATGCTAGCTGAGGGGTAAATTGTTTAATGGGCTTAGCACTGTGTCCATCCTTGATTCAATTAGTTCAACAATTAGGACATTCTCTTAGGATAAGGCTTTTGCGTTTCCTAAGATGTTTTCACTTATAGTATCCTGTTACATCCTTAAGACAGGTTTGTGTCAGGGAGTTGACATTTATTTTGCAGAAAAAAGAACCAAAGTGCAGAGATGTCAAATTACTTGCCCAGAGCCACAGAGCTAGAAATGGCTAAGCCAGGCTCCAGTCCAAGCTCAATATTCTTCCAGCACAGTGTGAGTCCAGACGCCGCCACCTAAAATGCCATTCATGGTTCTGCATATTGTTTAATTTCCTATTACAATTATGCCAACAGAAGAATGCCAGTCTCCAGGATAGCAACAAAATACCACTTTCACATTCTCTTCTATAATCACTGGAGTTCCATAACAAATTACTTTTACTCCATTGCACCTTTTAGAGGGTCTAGAAGAATATTCTCGGTTTTTTTAGGCTGATTCTAAATGCTAAGTTTTGGTTACAAATGTGTCAAAAATCACCGCTGTACCAATCTTGAAATGTAGTGGGTGTCCAGGAGGCTTCTTCTCAAATCCATTTAAGGGAGTTTCTTAAAATCTGTAAAACTTTGCTTCACTTTTTAAAAATTAAACTTCATTAAACCAGAAATAGAATGACCAGATAAAAATGGGTTATTTCTGACTTGCTGGTATAGCTGGAAGGCACATGGTTAAGAAAATAACAGAACAACTCAACAGGCGACCCCACTTCAAGAATGTTAGGGAGAACATCATTCTGTTTCAAGCATTCTCCTTTTTTGCACCCTGCCTCAGATATTTTGTTACATCAGCATGATGGTGTGAGAAGGGAAGGGAAGAAGCTGCATTTGGCTTTAGAAGATGGTACTGAGTTCACAATGATGATGGATCACTTCAGAGAAAGTGTCTGACTTCCAGTTGGAAGTATGGTAAGCAAGCAAAAGAATAATGGAGAGACGGTAAAAAGTATCAGAGGCTGTACAGAGCAGGCTTGGAGACACTCACATGGAGCCACCAATCAAGTAACTTTAATGGACTGTCGTATTAAGTTCTCTGATACAGGAAAGCAAGACACCAAAAGGAGCAGCAAGTGTCCCATCTTAGGGATGACTTACACGCCTCTCCCAGTGGCTGGGGTCTGGACTTGATCTTGCTGCTTGACTTCTTGGTCCCATGTGTCTGAGTTGAGTGCTCTGTCTGTCTGCTCACTGAGCTCAGTCTTCCCTACCCCCACCTTCTGAGTGATGCTCACAGCCCAGGTGGACCCACAAGCAGGTGAACCCCAGCTGGTGCCTTCCAGCCTTTTCTTCCTAGTAGGCAGACCCTATTCCAGAGTTACATAGATAAACATAGGATACTCTGTTTCCATTTAGATTAGGACCCTAGGCAGAGTACACCATATCATTTCTATAAATGTGTACTTCACCGCAGTCTAGAGATTTCCGCTTTCTCTTTACACATGACCAGATAGGTGGATTGGATCCAAATGCTGGAGTCAGAGTCTCGATTGTCTATCCTACTTTTGCTGCATTCTGCCTCTTACCCCACTGATACTTGTGTCTGCACTCTGCCATGCTTAGCTCTTACCTTGTGTCATCCCCCACTGACCTCCAGCTAAAGCTCTGGCATACTTTCCAGGCTGAGTCAGAAGGGAAAACCAAAGGCTCTTGCCCATTGACTTCTGGGCACAGAAGACTGAGTCTTAACTGGGATAGCGCAAACAGGCCTGGGCTGTTCTCTCGCTCCCTCTTTTTCAACAGTGCTTTCAGTAGCTGAACTAGCACTTCCTTTGGATGGTGTCCCCCCACACCCTGCACGGTCACTTGGGTAGACTTCTGCAATTTTGTGTTTATTTATTTTTGTTTCTGTTATCATCTGAAATTTCCTAAATACCTGTCACAAATGAGGTGGCAACCTAACTTGGAAAACTAGCTGCCTTAAAATAAAAAGTCCCTTTTCCAGAAAGGAAATAATGGAAATAGAAATGGGAATAAGGAAAATTATGTTAGATTTTCTAAGAAACAAGGTTATTAATTATTGGTACGATTATTAGTTTGTTTTTTTAAACATTCCAGACATCTTCGGTCAGGGGGTAACATGAAAATACAATAGGAAAGCTTATTTGCTAATTTTGCTCACAAGCAATTATTTTTGAGAAATAAATGTTTATGATTAAAGGTAAAAATGCATGAAACTTTAGCATATAAACCTCACATTCTATACCTCAGTTTCCTCATTTGCTGCCAAGTCTCTTGATCTGTTATACAATTCTTCTGGGCCATCGTATGTATACAATTCTCCTGAGGCCTTGTATGTGATATGCACATGCATGCACACACAGATGCAGATATCTATGTCTATTTCTTCCTTCAAATAATGGTGAGTTGTTTAATTTTCTGTGACAAGTGTGGTGACATAGGCCTGCAATCATCATGCTCAGAAGACATTCAAGGCCAACTTGTGCTACATAGTAAATACCAAGCAAGTTTGGGTTATATAGCAGGGCACTATTTATTTCCCAAAATCCAAAGGAAAATAGTGATACATTTTTCCCTGTTCAGTATCTCAGAGGTTCTCCTGCTGACAGGATTACTTTTGAAAACTATGAAACATTCCTTTGTTTGAATTATGAGATTTTTAGCCAATTATTAAGAAATAATATGCATTTATGAATTCATTGGTGATCATGTATATTGTTTCCATAGACCTGTTAAACTTTATCAATTATTAAGTACTTTAATATTCACTAATTTGACCAAGAAAAAGTAAAAATAGTTTGCTTAGGCAGTATAAATAAAAAGGCATTTCTAAAAGTATAAGGTCTGCATTAAGAAATGAGGTAATTTAAGACTTTATTGATATAGAATTCCTCTCCATTTATAGTCCATGAGTTCCTGCTAATGTACAATGCCTTCTCCTTTGCAGTATTGACAGGTTTTACAGCTCAACACTAAAGTGTCTGTCTTACGCTGCCAGAAGAATAAATGTTGCTATCGTCAAGTAGAAGACACTAGCGCTTCCACTTTCAGAATATGAGACAGTTGCTCCAAGAGCAATCTTAGCTCCAGGGATAGCAAATGCAATCAACACTATGAATGAAGTGTCTTTGCAGGTCAGTCTGCTGTATCTGTTGATATCATCCACTAATATTGCCCGTATGCGACACTTCCAATGAACTAAACTCACTTACCTTGTCATACTGTTCTTTCTTTCTGCATGAGTCTTCTATGTTAGCTGAGACTTTCTATTCGACTCTTTTGTCCTGAACCAAAGTTTGGTAATCACAAACTCATCAATTTATTTAAGGTCACTAGACCAGGAACTCAGATATTTTTTATTCTTCTTTCTCCATGCCTGTTTTTTTTTCATTACTTTTTATTACTTTTTTTTTTAGAAAAAAGCTTGCTCCACATGTCAATCCCAGCTCCCTCTCTCTCCCCTCCTCCTGTACCCCCTCACCATCCCCCCAGCCTCCTCCCATCCCCATTCCCTTCCACATAGGGGACCTCCAGAGTCTGTCATTTCATTCAGGGCAGGGTCCAGGCCCTCTCCCAAGAGTCCAGGCTGAGAGAGCATCCCTCTTTGTGGTATGGACACACAAAGTCCATTTGTACGCCAGGGATAAATACTGATCTACTGCCCAGGGTCCGATAGGTTGTCCAGGCCTCCTCACTGACTCCCATACCCCCGGTTTTCCCCAACCTGCGTGCCCAGCTCCAGGTGAGCTTGGGTCATTCTGGGGTCCCCTTCCCTGCCCATCACCCACTGATCCATGCCTCTTTTATAATTCCCTTTTGTTTATAGAACAAGAACTTCCCTAGTTATGTTACACACACACACACACACACACACACACACACACTTCTAATTCATTTACTTATTCTTTCCCTTGAATTCTTCATTAATTGACTGTATCCTAAGGCATACTTTTTAAATGAACAAAATATTCTGAAAAGTTAAAAATAAATACAAATTTAGTAAATTGAATACAAAAGTAAATGAAGCAAAATTGCTCTTCCTGTATACACATAACACATATGTAGATTTATACATATATAGATGTACACACATACACACTAATATACATGTGCACATGCACACATGCACACACACACACCCTTGCATTTACTATGCTGTCAGCCTAACATGGCGTCAGACTTCTAGCAATCCTGTTGTCTCAGCCTCCCAAGTGCTGCAGTGAAAGGCTGTGCCTCCATTACTATTCAGAATAATAAACAATGTACCATGATTTGAAGGAATAAGTAGATATTTGTGTATGTGTTTGTGCACACATATATATGTTCACATCCAGCACCTCTAGAATAATATAGAAACCCTTTCAGAAAAAGGTATTTTGAAAAGAAAATGCTTTCTCTTATCTTTAGTACAAATCTGAATTATATATATTTGCTCAAAACATATTTTCTTTCAGTATTTTTTTAATCTCCTTATATAGTTTTTAGAATGCACTGAACACTTAGTGACACTGTCTGATATCCTTGGTTATTTTCTGGATAATTATTTTCATATTCCTTTACTCCTATCTACAATTGGTTTTCAGGGCTTCATAATGCTTTGATAAAAGATAATTACTATTCCACTTAACATAATACAAAATCATATTGAAGTGATCTCTTACCATCTTAAAAATGTGATTAGTTATTTGTTATGTTTTGTTGGCCAACAGACATTATCTTTCTGGTGTTCATATTTATTTTTTTTAAATATTTGTAGATTTATAACATCTTGAGGTCCTGCATGATCACAGTACATGGTAAAAAATGAGTAATAGCACAAAAGCTCCAGACATACTAATTTAAAGACAACAAAGGCAATTTTGGGTGTTTTAGACCCTACTTTGGACTCTTTTTATGTTTATGAAACCATATTGACAGTAGAAATCTTTGTTTAAAGAATGAAAGTACTTGTTAATGGGTGGGAAGGAAAAATGGAAATTGAAAGCAAGAGTTCCTTAAACATCTTCCAGCAGTGAAGACCTTCCGCTCAGTTGCACATTGAATGGCTCAAGCATTAGGAATTCTTCATTTTAAGAAGAAAGAAGTCAGGACAGTTGAATGTGAGCCTTTGTTAGGCTCCCGGCATCTGCTGAATTGCTACCATCATCCTAAGATCCACATGGGCTCATTCATTGTTTTGTTTGAGTTCAGTGAATTCCTACTATTGGTACAACAAAAAGAGAGGCAACGAAAGCCCCGAAATTCAGGGAAAGATTTAATCAAAGCCCCTGGGGAGAAGGGGACAGCTGGACAATACATAGGGATTTCGAATAGAGTGTCAATTGTAGACATATGTCCCTTCACATTGTGACCCTTGATAATAGACCTAAACAGGTGTCATCATGAAAAAAATTGGAGTGTTGCTTGTGTTACCAAGCACCGCCTTTGTAGCACCCTCCTTTCCTTCATTGGTGAGATGGAAGCTATTTCCTTCCTGTAGGTTTCCCTGGCTGGGTACATGCTGGCCGCTCTCCAGCACTTTACTGAATAGTGTGCTTAGAGAAGGAGTTGGGAGAGTTTTCCTAAAAAATATCAGCTAATAAATATTTCAGCTTGCAGTCCATATGGACTCTGTTGTAACTGCTCAATCCTAAAAACAGCAGGCATTCCACTCTGAGGACAAGCCTGCCTGTGTCTGTGGCACATTTGCTCACACTGTTGGAGAGAAAGAACTGGGTTTTGCTTACTCTTAGACATTAGTAAATTTCCATTTATTCATTATTAAACTGTTCGTTAATTCAGTAAGGGTTTATTGGACAGATATTAGGTGCTATCTATAAAAACTGTAATGGAGAACTGATCACAAACTTCCCAGAGCAGAAGAGGCAAAACTCTGGTTCCTGTTTCTTTCGAGAGCAGTAAACTTTATTACCAAAATTAGAACAATGTGCTGAAACAAAAATTCTGCAGGTTAACCTCTCTCATTGTCACATATGTAAAAATACTAGCCAGAATACTAGCAAAATGAATCTAATGCCATTTGAAATGATTTTGTATTACAAAAAGTCAAGTTGAAGAATTCACAATTCTACAGCCAAAGGAGCCTGCTGTGTGATCTGCATTTGATTCTTAGAACCCACATTAGGTGGAAACAGAGAACAAATTCCACAAATCATAGCCCTTTGACCTCCACAAAGGTGCTATGGCACACAAGATCCCCCTGCCAAATCATGTGCATATGTGCAGAATAAAAAAATACAAATTAAAATAAAATTATAAAGGCAAAGTTGGTTTAGCATTTTATATCAAGAAATTTACTTATAGGCCTTATAAAGGAGGAAAAGTATATGATATTGTTAATAGATGCAGGGCATATTTGGTAGACTTCAACACTGGTTCATGAATAAAATTAAATTTTGCTCTTTGACCTTAAAAATTTGCTTGAGAGGATCTTTACAATGACAACACCAGTTGACATGCCAATGTGGATGGGGCAGACTTCACAAGGTCACCCTCCTAGATGAAGATCTGTAGGCAATTAAGGGATGTAGAAAGAATAAGATAAAGAGCTCTCTAATAGGTTATCTAATTCCAAGCATTAAGGTCTAAACACATGGCACAACACCAAATGGACTCAGTAGGGTTGTATTGATATACACATATGTGTATATAAATAGTAATATGTAAACAATAATTAAAGAAGAAAATGTCATGAATTTGAGAGGGAGAAGGGAGAGGAAGGCGTCAAAATGATATAGATTCAATACTCACACATGAAATCATCAAACAAAATAATTGTATGGAAAACATTAGTTGTAAAATATTGGAAGGTATCTTATCTGGCATTGGGGATGAAACAATAGCAGCAATTATCACTGTTTTGATTCAGTATTGCACTGTTAGTAACCAGTGCAATAAGACAAGAAAAATGGATAGAAATTTTGCAGTATGTCAAAAACTGAATGGCTCTATAGATATACAATTAAAATAAATAATGGAACAAACTGGCTCATTTGCCATTCACTAGAAAGTAAATACATAAAAATTGATTATATTTCTATATGCCTTCAATAAACAACTTGAATTTGAATATGAAATAGTATAAAGCTTATCCAAAGAATAATTACTCAGGAGCAAATATAACAAAAGAAACCAAATCTTTAACCTGACTACTACAGGAAATTAAAAATAAGTAAATGAAAGGAAATTCTTTGTGAATTTCAAGACTGAGTCACATAGCTTCTCAATCAATTCCTTGACCCAGGGGAAAGAAGTAACTGTATATTTAAACATATATAGAGAGGTGGGAAAGGCTGCCGCCATATGGTTTGTCTGTAAAATTTGTATTTCCTGAGATGACCCCAGTTATTCCTTGTTTCTTTATTTTCTGTCTTAGACGGAGTGATATCACCATTCAGATGGCAGCATTCCCAAGCTGATCCTGCATCTAACTCCACTCACTTTGTCTTGGTGCCTGGTGCCCTGGTCTGCTCTGTGCTGGAGCCTCTGTCTTATCTAGCCTTATCTCTCTCCTCCTGTCCCTTCCCCTCCCTTCCTCATACCTCCCTTCCCCTCCCCTTCCCTTCTCTTCTCTACCCTCAGTTGCCCTCCACTGCCCTCCCCTCCCGTGTTTTTCTCCAAATATTCTCCTTCAGTGAAACTGGTCAACCAGTTAAGTGTGTGGGGAACCAATACATCAGTAAGCTTGATTAAATACTGTATTTATCAAAAAAAGCCTCCACCCAGGCAGGTGCTAAAATGTGCTCCGTGCACTTAGAAGGAAGGACTAAATCTGAAGCCTGGCTCTGCTGATCATCCAGTATTGTGGCCTGGGTGTCTGCATCTGTAGCTAACACACGGGTGGTCAAAGGATTGAAGAGGTTGTGGTTAAATACACAAATGAGTGAATAGATGTTAGAACAGTTGGGCCATAGAGCCCCTGGAACCAGCAGAAAATTCTCTCTGAAGGCAGCGGGATGAACACATTCGCCCTAGCAGCAAGGCTTTCAGACAACCCATACCTCTCCCCCACCCCCAGCTCAAGGAGTCAAAACAGCTCCTACTAGCCAGCTAGTAGGTGGAGAGCCAGAGAGGAGGACATTCATCCCACACTGCTCCCTACAAACACACAGCAGACAGCATCTGGAAATGATGGAAGTAATGCTCTGTACATGGGGCTGGACATCATTTGGTCCAGGGAGACTTGCTGGTTTGGGTTTCAGACATTTGCACCGATTTTGGCATTGAACATTTGTTCTTTGGATTTAAAAGTGATAATGAAGTTATAATCCAGGAGCGAGTCTGCTTTTAGGAAAAGATCTGTGTATAGGATCTGTAACTGTGTGCTAGAGAGAGCGGAATACTGGCTCATGACCAAAACAGCTTGGCCTCAACACATGAATAAGTGGCCAGAGAAACCTGTGCTGGATCCCACCTTACACGGAGAGGTTGCAAGTCTTGGGGTCTCTTCTCTGTGGCAAATTCAGAATAGGACTAGGTGAGAATTTCTTTCTCGTCGTGTTGCTCCCCAGTTCAGACATCACTATGGAAAAGTGATCATTTGAAATGGAAGCCCCTTAATGAATATTTAGCCTGCTCTGTTGGCTACTAAGCATGAACATTCCTCAGAGTTTCTAACCCCCTCCTTATTTTGAGAACATTCACATTTTAATGTCAAAACAACTCCGGAAAGCAGAATGACTTTGCCCATCTGGCCTAGTGCTGGGATGCTGAGCTGTTCTGCAGTTAGTGTCCTATACTTTAAGGTCAGCTTTAAACCACAGGGTCTCATGTCTTCCCACGGCTTTCCGTTTCAGACCAATCCCTGCTTTCATACACACTTGACATTATTAGTTGATTTCTTTTATTAAAAATTTTTATACAATGTATTTTGATCATATTCTTTTAATTTCTTCAGCTCCTCCCTTATCTTGGGCAGGCCTATATCCAGGAGTAGTTGGTCATTGCAAAACAGGGTCCATGGTTTTTGTTTGTTTGTATGGTTTGGTGTGTGTGTGTGTTTGCGTGTGCACGCATGCGTATGTATGTGCATGCATATGCGAGAGTTGTGTGTGCATTTGAGTGTTACTAAACTTTACTATTACTCTACTTTCCCTTTGTGAATTATGTGTCTTTATCTGGTTTTCACTCAACCCTGAGACTTTTCCTTGACCAGTGTCAGTCACAATATTTCTGTATGTAAAATGTAGATAGAATTTTTAAATCAATGTCTTTTAAATTGTTTTAAATCAAAGTCTTTTAGGATTAAATATATTCAAGGAATTGAACACAATACCTGACACACTCATCAAAGTTAGCTAACAGCTTTGCCCATTCCAGAGATATTTTCTTTCACGAAGAAAAAACGTCTATAAAAGGCAGTATTGTGTAGCTCCAAAGCTCATGCTGCATTCTGTTATATCTATCTGCAAAAGTGCCTGTGTAAGTGTGTGACAACCACCTCATTCTGAGTGGACAAGATAACATCTTATATAAATGCCCAGCACAGACCACGGAGCAATACCATGATTAGGTACAAATGTGGAAGAACCATCAAGATCTGTCACCTAAACCTGGGTTGGACTTTCTTTAGTAAATGGCTTCTCTGACCATTCATGTCCCCATCTGTCAAACAGAGATAATAGTGACTTCTCCCTAAGCTGTTGAGCATCTGAGAAGCAAACTTGACTCTTAGGAATGTGATGATCAGAGTTGACTGGGAAAAACATTAACAGCACAGCATCCTTAACCTCCATGGCCTTTCCCATTCTGCCTAATCATTTGCATTTATATGGGAGCAATCAGAGCCCTAAAGGATGGATTCCTTCTCCCCAGGGATGACAGATGAGCATCTAATGCAACATGCACAGCACTGCATTTATTACCCAGACAGGGTCTTGAACTCATGATCCTCTCACTTACATCACCCAGCTCTTAAATGCTGAGGTTACAGGGGTGCACCACTGCATCTGGCTCACGAATCCTTCAGTGGTCCTTGGCATTGACCGATTATGTGTCCCCACCAGCCTCCTAGTGTAGGCTTAAGCATTTTGCAGGCAACATGTTTTGTTCCTGGGGTAGATAGTTCCTCAAGGTCGAGGATCAGCTGACATTATGCAATTTCCTTTCCTCTCAAACTGGTCTCTGTCCTTGCTTTCTAACCATGTTTTTCTTCTAGTCGTGTGTGTGTGTGTGTGTGTGTGTGTGTGTGTGTGTGTGTGTGTGTGTGTGTGTTTGAGACAGGGTTTCTCTGTGATTTTGGAGGCTGTCCTGGAACTAGCTCTTGTAGACCCGTCTGGTCTCAAACTCACAGAGATCTGCCTGCCTCTGCCTCCCAAGTGCTGGGATTAAAGGCCTGCACCACCACTGCTCAGCCTCTTCTGGTTCTTGTGACCACCTGATGCTTATCCTTGGTTTTCTGATTCTTTGAAAGGAATGTCTATTCCCTGGCTGACTTGTTTATTATAATTCTTCTTCAGATTTCAGTCTGAGATTTGCTCACACCAGGGAAGTGTGTCAGTCTAATATCTGCGTGCTTGCAAAGGCCATCTCTCTTTGAGATAATCTTTATAGCCACAGTTCTGAATTTAGTAATTCTAGCTCTCACCACAGTCTTCCATCTGTTCGATCATTGGGCTGTTGTGCATCTCCTGTACTGCACTCTATGGCTCATGAGGTCAAGGCTCTCCTTCCATCTGTCACTATGCTATGCCAGTAGCTAGTAAATGATCCACTTACTAAGAAAGAGTACCTTCACTGTGCCTTTGCTGAAATAAAGAGTAGTTTCTGACCCAGCTCTCTCCTGAAAACCTTGGGCCTCCCAACAGACAATTTAGACATGAAAGGAGCTGTGCTTGACACAGTAGAGCCCTTCAGAACCATGTCCCAGTACTCTGGCTGGTGAATATGCCCTGATGGGCCTTACCCATTTGGAACTATTTTTGTTATCATATGGTAGGACCTTTACTGTATGAAGTGGGTGCCCCTTGAAAGGACCACACACATGCCTCTCTCTTGGATCTGAAACAGCAGAGTCCAGCTTGGAGCACAGCTATGACTTGGGCTGTAGGTGTCCTGAACATCAAGGTCAATATAGGCATTATCTGTAGGAGGCTTTCTCTTGATTGCATGTATTGTCCCTGTGATGGCTGGAGTTTGAGACCTGGAGCTCTAAACCAAAAGCTGGAGTTCCTGGGGGGAAATGTGGAGGTGAGAAATAAACTCTCCCCAAAATCATTTTTACCCCCTCTCCCAAACTTCTGCAGGTCACTCTGTACTGGGTGAGTTGACAGGACCCAGGAGAAATCCTTTGGCAAGACTTCACATAGGTGTTTGTCCCTTTTAACTTGCTTGTACCTTTTATTGCCCTCTGTCTATTTTCCTGTATAAAACAGATCAGTGCTGAGGCAGCTTAGCACATTTCTATCTGCCCAGTGAGTATGGAAGAGATAGTGTGCGAGATTGAGAGTGATGTTGGCCTCTTCTGGAAAACTGTGCTAATTATGAAGGTGAAGACAGAGGGCACGGAAGGAATTCAGGTTACACCTCAAAGGAATTTCCATTTCTCAATTACATGGGAGCAAAGCACATTTACCTGGGCCCTGCTGGCCCCTAATGGCATTTTGGAATTTTAGAGTGATATGGATGCACTACGGCAGGGGACTGGATGCCCTAAGCTCTTAGGTCTCTTTTATTGTGATTGGCAAACCTGAAAAGAAGTAAGTGGAAACATCGAGGCTCTGGAAGAAGCTCCCAGAAGTTAAACAAAACAGACATCGAAAGGACCATCAAGCCAAACCTGATGTTTCTTATTTATTTAAAGGATAGATGAGAGAGAAATTGCATACAAACCTTGCCCTTGAGGACATTGTAGCCTAGAAGAGAAGATACAAGTATATAAAAAGTAAGTATGATCTCAAGTAGAACAGTAGAGCAGCAAGAGATTGGGGACTTCGGATACAAAGATGATTTCCTATAGGGCAGACAGTACTTCCTGGAGGTACCATAAGGACTCCCAGTGTTTGGGGAAACTTGGGCATATAGAAACAGAGGAAAAGCTGTTTGTCATAAGGGTTCAGCAGAGGAGCAAATCTGATCAGGGCTCTGACAGCAGCAGTGAAATTAGTCCAGGATGGGAGGTGAGGGGATGCAGGGCGGGAGAGGCATTTGTATGGCTTGGGGCAAAGGGGCTGAAGGATCAGTGGTTGAATTCTCTACCATCGGTTCTGGAGCATATGATGCCTTGAGGGGGAGCAGACTGTGGAGAAGGAGGCTGAGAGGAGGAACCTGAAGTTTAGATGCAAAGATGAGAGGATGATGACCATCTTCACAAATTCCATGTGTCAAAGAAAAAGTAACAGTAAAGGGGCAACACGGACTTAGGTTTAGTTTGTGTTGGGTTTAGGATGCCAGCAGAATGGAAGATGATTATAACAAATAGACAGTCAGAAGGAAAGACTGAGAAGGTTAAGACTGAGCTACAGACTTCGGGAGGAAATCAATGAAAGGGAAAGGAGACAGAAACGATGGTTGTCTGCCCAAGGACAGACTCTAGAGAGGAACTGAGCAATGAGGGCTCCCATGAGTAACCCCACAGCAAGTAGACCTGAGATCTAGGAATTTCCTAGGTGCCAATGACCACTGACTGTGCCTACAGAGACCTAGCTTAGGTAAGCTGGCAGGTATGCCTGTTGGA